GTTTCATTTAAAAAACCTATCAATCAAGCCAGTTCTACATTGATGATTAAAAGAATGGAAAAGGGATGAAGAGGTTCGCCTCACAGGTAATTAAAGTAGAACACATAATAACGGAATGGACAACGAGATCTTCGCTTCTGGCACTCGCTGTGATTATTATTGTCGTGCGTGTATTTTCTGTCATTCTCCTCCGACAACAAAGCGCGCCGATTTTATGGCGATCAAAAGGCGCTGCCACTCGCTCGAGGTAATCTACCGACCGTCACAGATTAATGTTGTAGAACGAGGAAGAATAATACTTTTATGTTCTCAAATAGATTTGCACGTGTATGGATCATTTGAAATTAGAACAGTCAATATCATTCTATGACTTGGAGACAAAAGGAAAAAAAAGAGAGAAAAGATGGGTATTGTAACTCATACGTGTAACAGTCATATCAGACCATTGTCGTACTTCATTTAGATTTTTATAACATACTCATGTATTAAGCAACAATACGGGACTTGTTCAAAGTCTCGCAAGAGCTTACGAAATAAAATATTCTCATTTAGCAATGCTGATGAGGCAATTCTGTATATCTTTCTTGGTCTCTCCCTCGTACGATCGTGACCATCCGTACGTGAAAGCGAGGTACGCCCGATCGAAGTGCTTCGATCGAACAATTAAACAATTGTTAGGGCTGACCCACTTCTTTGCCAGGACACATTGTCCTTCCTCGTTGTACGCCACCGTACGTAGCATGGCACTTTCGATCTACAGTAGAGATCGTTCAGATTAAAATCGCTCGATCGCGTGCGTTCAGCTTATTTGGTAAAACGATCAAATGCAGAGAAGATGCTACCCCCCCCCTCCCCCTCGAGCAATATAAATATAGTTCGGCAGACACACAAAGAAAAGTATATATCATATTTAATTTTATATATAATAATTGTTTCTATATACTATAAATTTTCTCGAGATGAACACAAAGTCTTTAATACATAATTGATATTAGATTCATGCTAAATTATTCTGTTACATAAAGTTTTGATATTAATTATTCAATTATACTATCAAGAAGACCGAAATGCATCTACTATTTAGTTATATCAGACAGGAACGTTATATCGTCGAATTCTTAATTCATTCTGACTTCATTATTCAAGCACTTTAGATATACCAGTCGAGATGCTAACGAACCACAAGCATATTAACGTCGCGCTTACGGGGAAATTGTTCCGATTAATAATTAATCAGTTCGATAATGTTGTCTCGTGTTATCGCCTGCGCGATGCTACCCGGTCTTCTTTATTACCACTTGCCGATGATAGATGGATCGATCCAGACGAAGCGTTAAACTACCCATTACCACTACGCATTCCCGATCGCATCATCGCGTGGTTAATAAGATAATAAGTACCACGCTGGGGATGAATAATCGCGATAGGACGCCCTGGAGCCGCCGGTCTCCACGCGAGTACGTCGCGCGGCGACGATTAACCACGGCAATAAGGAAGCGTTCACGTCACGGATTAATTGCAAAGCCTCCTTTATAGTTTTCGATGCGAAAGAATGCACTTAGGACGGATCGTTGATTAGTAAGCCGGTATTTCTCGATCGGCATTTCAAAACGGTATACGCTACGGGAATTCAACGTCGGGATATTTCAATTCTACGGCTGTTTTCCAATGGACCAAGACATGCAAACGACTTGGAAACGCGTTTCCTTTTACGACCAAAAACCGTCGAGGGCAGACGTTATCGATTGATCAAAATTACAATCATGACGTTAAGTAGCGACTTTGTCAGAGTGAAAGTCCGATGGTTGGTGTATTAACGCCGTCGTCAACTCGTCTCGGTTATGTCGGGTGCATACGACTTCGCGCGGTCGCGTACACGACGGCACACGGGCAGCACGCATCTTGTATCTAATTATCGAGGAATGCTTTGTGCGTGTAGGAAGCCGCGCGTCGACCGTCCGGGCTTAACAACTCAGCAGAAGAAAAAGAAACCCACGAGATTGAGCGGTACACGCACGCACTTACTTGATACACGTACGACATTTCGGTCAATTTCGCACTCGCGCCGTTTCGTCCTTTTTTTCCTCTTTGCGGTGGCTTTTAACGAGTGTTAAAGAATATATTATCAAGAGATAATTCGGCGAAAAAAATGCGGGAGTTGATAATTCCGAAAAGAAGAGATTAAAGCAACATTAATTCGACGTACTACATTAACTTCGACTTTTTTTAATTACTAACGTAATTCAAGAACCATGGATATATTTATTCAATTCTGAGAAGAAAAATTACATTGCTGCTCTTTGAGCGCACAATTGTGCATTGAATCAATTAAACAGTTTATTAAACATCCGCAAAGGTCTTTGGACGTTTCGAATTTTTTAAATTAAAAACTTAGGAACGCAAAGTGGAAGTAAAGACTATATTTATAAGCAATCTCTTTTCTCTTTAGCGCTAATCTGATCTCGTAATTTCGACGAATGTTGTTCCCCATGTTGATCGTTTTGGACGTCTTGATGACGGAGGAATATGAAAAAATGGTGAAAATTATAGACCCGAGTATCGCGAACCGCCCAGGTCATTCATTCACACTCGAGTTCCCAAAGGGCGGGCCATGCTTTACGTTCCCGTGATGGATAATTAATAATTATAAAGCGATCAAGGGAAGGGTGGCATTTATGCGATCCGCCACGGTAATTTCCGATTCGCTTGTGCACGAAAGATGTGAATTCGTGGCAACCTCGATTTTGTTTGCGCCCTAGAGGGCTCGTTAAGAAAGAGAAAAGCTGCACACATGTGCATAAAATCATGATTAGATGATGGGTCATTTGGTACAACGCAAACCCAAAATAAATCGCGCATTCATTTTGTAGAAATGAATAAAAATTTCTAACGTTATCATATATAATTATTAAAGAAAGATCGTCGGTATGTTTCACAAGATAATTTTTAATAATTCAAAGTTTATCCAGAAAGAAATATATAATCCACATAAATGCATAAAAACACATTTGCATTACAAGAAATAAAAAGAAAAAAATAGACATTTTAAGAAAAATGCATATTATGTGAAATGTATATTATAAATATCACTTTTCTACCAACAAGACTGTATTGAGAAAAATTGGAAATTTGAAAGTTCGTAATAAAAATGTCGAACAATATATCGTTCCTCGACCATTCTTCATTCTAGACCGTTTATCGATTCGCACGATCCTGCCATCGTATTATCGATTATACTCGGACGCGTTGGTAACGCCAATCACGTCCCCAGACTCGGTCGTCATTATGGAAATAGTGAGTGTAATGCGTCGGGGAGGCAGATGATTGCGCGCGTTCGCCGATCTTCGTGGCGTCTAATACAAGGAAAATGCGTTAACATGCGTGTTTGCTTTAGGCATCTCTTGGAATCAGCGATCGAACAGTTGTTCTACTCAGTCCGCTGAAATTACTGGAGAAATCATCAAGTGTAATTTTATATTAAATGTTGTTTTCGTTTAACTCCTCAAATCTTTTGTTAGAAAAAATAAAATCCAAACTCAATAGAGAATTGTTGATAATAAGACATGTGTGCGCAAATAATGATAGATATTAAAAGAAATTATTTTTCTAGATAAATAATAAATTATAAATAAATATCACGTAAAATCAAGCTATTCTCGATACTGAAAGAGCTGAATTCTCTCAATGCCACTGACAAAGCTGCATCGTATTTGCGAAGGACCAAGGAATAACAAGTCGGCGATGTTCATTGGCGAGGCTAACGCTCCGCGAAAGATCGATGAGAGATCGAATGTCAACACGAGAGATCGTTCGATGGCTAGGTATACAGCGCTGAGATTTTCGAAGCGAAAGTTCGTTCGTGGAAGTGAGGATAGGGAGCCCTTTGTGCGTCTTCCATTGTCGACTGAGGGAGGCTGACTGGCTGAATTCAATGCGAGTCGCGCTCGAAAGAGTGGCCATACGCGGCTCAAAGGGAGGATAGTCCGTGTATACGAGACAGTATAAGCATTGCGTGCAATAACTTCGGTGTAATCGTCGAGAAACGAGTTAGGAGAGCGGCCATGTATGGAGAACTTTCATACGCACGCGGAATAACAAACCACGTAGCAATCGATAATCTTTTAGTTCAAGGCTACGTCAACGTATAAACAACGCTTATAATTGACGTGCTAATCTAAATCCTTTTAACACTATTTTTTACTCTCCCATATATTGAAAGATTGGTTGAATATGGCATAGCATTTTTAATTGGTTGCAGCAACCAATTTTTGGTTGTGTTAGCTTATTGAAATCGCATACTTTGCGGATAGACTAACGCAATCAAAAATTGGCTGCTGCAATAAAAAATTAGCTGCTGTAGCCAATTAAAAATGCTATGCCATATTTTAGCATCTAATTTTCTGCAGCAGCCAATCTTTTCTTCCACAGTGTACGTGGAAGAAATATATTTGAATTATAAGAGTAGAGTAATTAATTTTTTTTTTTCATTAGATACATAGAAAGACTGATTTTGTTGAAGTATCTAAAAATTTAACTAGATACAGATCTGAAAATAACTTTGTTGGATCATCAAAATAATTACATAAGAATCTCAAGTATAATGAGTAATGCTGCAAAAGCATTGAACATTCTAGTAACCAGTTTGAGCGTCCTACATAATTATTTTGATCATCCAACAAAATTATTTACAGATTCCTATATAGTTAAATTTTTAGATACATCAGCAAACCTTTCCGTGTAATTATGACATGTATAAATATCCCGTATTTGAAATCTTAATTTTATGATATCTCCCTCCCCCCACACATCTATTCAAATATGCCGTTATTGCATCGGATATATGACACAATCGGTCTATAATCTTTTCTGACTCCCATCATGATAGCAACATCGAGGCTAATGTTAATCAGATAGGCCGTTTCGGTACGGATTAGCCAATTTATGAGTGAGGAAGATTTACGAGACTTCACGGACGACATATTAATTTACGTAAGACTTACCTCGTGTGCTTGATCCTCGATGCTCCGTAGAACCGCGAGATTGCGGATAGTCGCGCGTCGCGACTCGAACGATGACTCCAGCCTGGTGGCAGCCTTACCCACCTCCTCCACCAGTCTTCGGGCTCGTTTCACCGACAATCTAGAAAGATAAAAAGGAACCGTGATCATGACGCACCGTTAGGAATCCGCGTGGCCGTCTCCTCATGTACAAGCGATCGAACCCTAACCATGAACGAAGGTCAAGATGCAAATCGGAATTGAATGTTTCATCGACTAATGTGTTTCCTTATCTTCGCATTAAAATGTCCTTGGTTGATATATACTTCATAAATACACAGGAATCAAAGAAAGCTTGATGTACCTACACCCTCAATCAATCTGAATAATTTTTCAAATTTAATGCCTTCTTAATCAAAGAGAGAAATCATTTGCATAATGAATAGATAATAGGTCGATGTTACTACAAGTAACATTCAATGTTATACTAATTATTAATTAGAACCAACACGTTTAAAAAAGCAAAAATTGAACGTCGATATGTTGGTTACGTATAGAAAAATTAAATTATGCGAATAATTAAGAAATCATTTTTCAACAAAAATGTAAGTGTAACAAAAAAAGTTTTTTCTGTGTAATCTTTTCTGTGTAAAAGAAACGGATCGTTTCCTGCGCGATCAATAAAAATAAAAAATTCTACCTAACGTGCTCAATGTGTAGAAGGGGAGCCGCGCGTTCCTCGAGCGCGGCGATGGCCTCTTCGGCATCTCTAGACGTTCTTCTCAATGTGGGGTCCGTGAGGAGCCGACCGAGAGGCGTCAAAGTGCCAGACAGGCTTGTGCATTCCTTCAGGTCCGACATTTCGAGGGCTAATCTGCGACCAGCCGATTGCCACTCCGTCATGAGGCTGTCGTACTCCTACGGGAAATCAAAATACCGATCATGGCGAAATGATGTCTATCTACTTCTCGCGATCTAACGAAATGTCCTTCATCGGCAACCGGTATCCAGGAGGAATGCCAGCGACGTAGAAGTAGACATGTCTAATACGGCGATTGCGCGATTCAATGAACCGTAATCGATCAATCATTGCAAACCTTACGGGGAATACATTGTTTAAAGAAGTACGTAATGAATGACGCATATCTGTTGCACATAGAACAAATACGTCGAACTATTATCTCGATGATTTCTTAGCTCCAAGTGCCCGTTCGAATCGCTCCAATCACGTGCGTGCAAATACCAATCGCGTTAGATCAACTCGCGACGAATACGGCACATGTTCGGAATAGCGATTGATATCGATTTCCGACACAATTAATTTAATACTGCATTTATATATCAAGCTCTAGACATATCTTCGTGACAAGATATATTAATTTTAGTCGATATAAAGCCAAGATTACAGAAATGTAAAAATTAGATTATCAGTACACTACCTTTCATATTTAACGTAAATAAAAAAAGAAAAATAATGTATACATATGTATGTGTATAAAACATGTTACATAAAATATTCAATTATCTTCACAAAATTTAAAATACTTAATAATCATATATTACAACTATATATACGATAGATTATAGTTACAGGTCCAACCGATATCTTAATTTTGTTAAATTGCCCAGCAGATTAATCAATCTCATATAATAATCGATCTCCGGGTATAAATTCATTATCCCCGAAGATAATCGATGGCTAAATTTCTATCATGGTAGTATTATAGGACGGCTCGACAACTGTAGAATAAATTTGGACGATGCAGAATTATTAATTACAGAATATAATTACCTACACAGCATTCTCGTCAAATATATTTTTAATTCCTTTTTCTCATCACAACTTTCGATTAATAATCGATTATTACCCGATTTCACCAATCTTCCTCAACTTTTTATTAACGAACATAAAATTAATAACTCATGATTAAAAATTAAAGTAGCATTAAACTTTATTAGCTTTCATAAGAGATATAATAACATCTCCATTAAACTGGATTTAAAGAAATTTAAATATCTTTAAGAAAATTAAATTCCAAAGAATAAGTAAAAATATAAACAAGATATAATTTTGCTCCAAGAAAATGATTAAAAAATTATAATAATTAGAATGTAAACACATTTTAATAATGTGAAATACTGATTAATTGATAATACTGGTTAGTGCCACGATCGAGCAATAAATCCTCTGACATTCATTGCGAAAGACTACCGGAATAAACAGATATCGATACAATTATTTCGCTCGAGCGACTTCCAGCTATTTATTTCATCAAAATTGCCGAATCATCATCATGATGTTGAGCCGATCGAAGCGGCTTTCCGTTGATTAACATTGAACGACAAATTGCGATAACAATTTGTCGCGAGATTCACACTATCGAAATGTTTATCTGCATTTGCAATCATTGATCCTCGCGTATTTTATATAATACATAAACTATTATTATTACATAATACATTATTATATAATATAGTGTATAAAATATTATATATTATATAATATATTATGTAATATAGTGTATAAATTATTTTATGAGAACATTTTATGTTCTCTTTAATGTTCGTTATTTCAATTAAATTGATGCAATATCGATGCGTTTAAATATTCACTGTGAAGGTATAATTACCTTGTAAAAAGCGATCCATTGCATCTGGTCGTGATTTTCTTCTCGTCTGGGAATATACTTTGCGAGAGTGGCGTCATTCACGATGACGGTCTGAAAGGGAACGTTTATGGCTAATTATAATGTCCCGATAGCATTCAATGATCATACTTATGGGACTGTAAATTACGTTTGTCGCAAATACTAAGCTTTAGCTTTTGTAGCAATATTCGTTTCGCCCCGACAAAGGATAGAAATGTCACAATGGAAACCGTGAGGCTATAATACACCAAGCGACATAATTCCGATACGAAACGCACGTGCGGACGCTTAAGAAGCCAAATATAATACACCGTGGAAACTGGATCAGTACAACGTATAATGAATATAGGGAGACAAAAACGACAAGTGATTGAGCGTGATTACTTTCTTGCCTGCGGGAAGGTACGCTCAATGCCGCCTGAGGGTTTAATTGTTCTTCGATATCAAACTCACCTGGACGTTAGTAAGAGGTAAGAGAGATTCAATCAGGCCATCCGTTGTTGCGGTATTTCGAAGCACGAGAGTCTGAGCCACGTTGACTCTGCCCTATAAAGGCAAGAATTGTGCGTGATTTCTATGACGGTTTTACAATAAAATCTTCATTCGCTCGCGAAATTATTCTTACCTGCAACAGGACCACTACTTCGTCTATGAACTCCAGACTCTCTTTAGAATCGCCGCGTATGAAAATAGTGAAGCCATCTTTTGTGCAGTCGGAGCTGAAAATTAAAAATGAAAATAAAATATTAAATTGCAAGCATAGAAAGTGTGTAATGGAATTATTTCTTGCTTAATTATACAAATATAATTTATTTATGGAAAGAATAATTTTGTCGAAGCATCTAAAAATTTAGCTAAATAATTTTAATGGACTATCAAAATAATTGTGAAGGACTCAAGCTGGTTACTAAAATGTCAAAATTTTTTACAGCATTGTTTATCATATTTAGATTTCCAACGTAATTATTTTGATGGTTCAACAAAATTATTTTCAAATATGTATCTAGCTAAATTTTTAGATACTTCAGAAAAATCGTTCTTTCCGTTTGATCATTAAAGTAAAATCGCCATTATTATCTCTCAAGACACTTTATATTACATTATGAACAACTTTCAGATGCAATTATATTATTTATATTGCAATTATATTAAATAAATATTTCCAAAAAACAGGAACACGAATTTTCACTTATGTTAAAGCAACAATGTATTTGGAAAAGTTAGCTCCACGTGACATTATCGTCACATCTAAAAATAATCGTGTGTCCATCACTTCGTACATTAGCCGGACAGCCTGCACTCGGCGGTGTTTTCGAGTGCTTATCGAAACTGTACCCCATCGTACACAAGTGCACCGGCCCGTATTTACAAACGTCGAATTTCCTAAGCAAATATTATCGCTTCCGACGAGAAATTCCGTGGGCACACGTGAGTTACTACCCGTCGCACACGTATTGCAAGATCTCCCATATGTGTTGCTACGATTTCTCCTTCCCGTCGTCATATCGCGAAATGAAACGTGTCATTCGTTGCGGTGACGCTTTTATAAAACGACGTACACGTGCAGCGCCAGCAAGACATGCCTCGTTATGTATTTTAATCGACATATCGTTTCTCACGATCGCCATTCGCGCTCAATGGGTTAAGTTTAAGACGAAGCGCTTAAATCACAGAAACAACTGGCGCACTCTCGATTTGACATTGTCAAGAGCTTGATTTGCGTTGTATCTTATAAACACGAATAATAATTTTAAAAACTATTAATTCTATATTAAATCATGTTCCTGATAACATTATACCTCAATTATCAAAATAATCATATAGGAAACTTAAGCATGAAAAGCAATACTGATTTGAATTAAAAAGCAACATTGTCGCTATAATAAAGTTTTGACATTTCAGCAACCAGTTCTACATAATAATTGTTATATAAATATTAGTTCAACAAAATTATTTTTAAATCCATATCCAGTTAAATTTTTAGATACTTCAGTAAAATCGTTTTTCTTTTCGTGTAAACCACGCCAGTAATAAAAAATTAATATCAAAGCAATTGGTTTTCAACTTCATGAAAGTGAGCATTTTATCGCTATCGCTGATTTGAATACTTTTGTACTACCTTTATATTTTTGTACTAAGAAAACTTATTCATTTTAAGTGACTCATTATAGTGTCAAAAGGCAACATTGTCGCTGTAATACATAGGTCGTCTGAAAAGTTTTGAGCCTAACATAGAAACAAGTAATTTTTCGGTCAAATTCAATTTTATTTTTCCACATAGTCTCCTTTTAAGTCGATACATTTTTTCCAGCGATGCTCCCACCCCTTTAATCCATTCAAATAATACTGAGCGTCTTGCTTTGCAAAATAGGCGTCTACGGATGCGATGACCTCGGTCGATGAAAATTTCTGTCCTCCGAGCCAAACTTTGAGTCTAGGAAACAGAAAAAAGTCGCTGGGGGCCAGATCTGGTGAATACGGTGGATGGTCAATTAATTCGAACCGCAATGTGTGAATTTTTATCATGGCGACTGCTGATATTCGATTTTTTCCATTTTTACAAAAACATTGACATTGACTGGCACAAATAACTGTCAAAAAACAACTAAGCGCCGGAAGTAGCTACAATTTTCGCAGGTATCTTTCAAAGTATGTACGATTATAGTACCAAAATTGTTTTGACGAGTAATGCCATCTTCATGTTGAGGCTCAAAACTTTTCAGACGACCTATGAAATGATACCTGACTAATACCTATAAGAACTATAATATACGATAAGAGATCGCGTTTTCATAAGCAGTAGCTGAAAATGCGCGTAAGCGCAATTTCAGCCGGCTAAACGTAACCCAGTTATATCGGATATCGTAAATAGCATTAAGTTATGACACGTGGGTGGTTGACATTAAGCATGCAACGTTTCTCACGCGGCTCCCGTAGCACTCACACTCCTCTTTCGTCCTTCTCGCGTATACTGTAATCACGTTCCTCTGCACAATACAGTGGTGCAGTGTTTAGCGGGCACAATGCTGAGCTTTGTATGCGCCACTTATATCTTGCGGTCTATCCTAAATCGTCATCAGCGCGACAGGCTACGCGTCGAGCACGACGTACATTTCTGCCGCCCCGTGCTTGTTGTACCTCCGATTACGGATTGTTCCTTTGACTTCTCTGTCGCGATACGCCAAACTCCTCGATCGTACATTATCGGTGAGAGAGAGCGGCTAAGGGGACGCCTATGCAACGTTTCGTGACAACCTTCTCAAATTGCAACTGCGCGACCGAGACTTTCGACTGCGTTGCACGTTGCTACTCCCCGTAAAATTCGATAGTGCAAATCATACAGTCGACCACGAGTCGATGGAGCGGGAACGACCTGTTGGAGTGATAGCGCATAAGATAAAATCAAATCGCTGGTTCTGACTTCCTGTCGTTACACGTCCATTATGAAGTCACGGCGAAGGTAACCTTCGAACTGAGAAAGATCATATTTCCGGATTTCAGTTCCGTGAAATATTAGGAATGATAAATCTTCAACAGATTGTGTTCTATCGTGTTGACTGCGAAAATTTAATATATTAATCTTTATCCATTTTTGATTGATTTTTGGTAATGACTGATTGTTTTAATTTACTGATTATTTCAAGCTACTTTTTTTTCTAAATTTTTTCTTATGGAAGAAATATTAGAGAAACACACACAGAAATAAATATTAGACAAGGACTTAAGTCGATTTGTGTACTTCATAAAAAATTTTTTTTAAATATTTTTATTTCTATGAAGCTGAATTGTTTGATATTATTTCTTAAGCAGTTATCGTTAATGTTTACCACGCATGTACTCTCCCGGATGTGGCTCAGTTATTCGCGCGTTATTCTCCGTTTTACCGCACGATGATAGATAAGAGGACAGGATCGAACCACCCTTCCTCATCGTAATCATCGCGCGTCTATTATCGAACCGGCCGTTTCCATGTAACCATAATGGCACGTACCCGTGGATTTAACGGTGCGGAACAGTCAGATCACAGCGGTCGTTCGTTCCCCGGAACCAGCGATCTTGTTGATAAGTAAATCACTTTGATTTCGCCGAGTTAACGTCACGCGACAGCTCACGATCGCGACGCCCACGTCTCGCCTCGCTCGGCGCGTCGGATTCATCAGCGCGTGGTATAACCACCGCACGGCTTTTGACGTATGATGGATATAGGCGTTAGCGAGCACGCGTTACAACGTCTCTCGTTCCTCCCGTACGATGCGATTCAACGGCAACTGCAAGAACGAGATCGATAAGATGGGCCCCGAAGAGGCTGTGTCGACACTGATCGCTGTTAGTGCGCTTGACAGTTAGTGCTTCGCCTAAATTACACGTCCCACACGTCGAGAGAGCTAATGAAAGGATGCTGCGATATAAGATTTGTCGCTGACCGAGGAGATCCCGTTGCAAGATGCCGAGCGGGTGCACGTTTCCTTTCGTAATAGCGTTGGACGGTGCTTCCAAGCTAGCGGAAGTCAATGTCACTGGTGACGCGTGGAACAGCTCAAGGACTTTAATTATGACTGCATGTCCGAGATCATTGAGATGAATTGGTAGCCTTTATCAATTAATCAACCACTAATTTCTACTTTCTAGATGACGATTCGATGGTTTAATAGTGAGCGCTAATATATCAAGTATCTTAATACATGGCATTGAATTGATGATTGAAACAAATAAAAATCTCATTTAGTGCTGAAACAATTCCTTCACACGAAATTATTTTAGCACTAAAGATCCAAATTTGACCGCTTAGCCTTTATTTCTTAATTATTGTGTGTTCACATCGCGATCTAATATGATACTTTAATATTAAATATAAAACTTTTATAAGAGTTATTTTCCGAAAAAATTTACTGCATTGATGAATACGTTTTGCAGTCCATAATAACTATATAATTTTTTACTTTTAATTCGAATATGTATTATAGTTTATCTGAAAATTATTGTAAATAAAACGTACAACATTTAAAGTAATTCAAATGTTAATTGAAACGTATGCAAAATTATGTACAAAAATATAATAAAAATTTTTAGATATTTTGAAATATCTAAAAATTTAGCTACACACATTTAAATCTGAAAATAATTTTGTTAGACAATCAAAATAATTATGCAAGACTGCCAAACTGTTAGAATGTCAAAACTTTTTACAGCATTATTCATCATACTTGAGTTTCCTACATAATTATTTTGATGAACAAAATTATTTTTAGATCTACCTAAATTTTTAGATATTTCAGTAAAATCATTCTTTCACGTAGCTAATGGAAGATTTTCAAGAATCAACTGTGTACTCCCAGGAAAAACCTCTCGCATTTAGCACAACTGTCGACCTAGACTCCCGATGGAAATTGCATTCGATATCGCGAGAGTTCGTCGTACGTAGAGTCCCTAGAAGTAATAATCTAGCCAATTTTATCCTTTTTTTATTGGCTTGATGAAATATGGCGGAATCAGATGATGACTGAACACTGTGAAAAAATTAAAAAGCAGATATGTGAACGCTTTATACAGTTGTGTAAGTGCATGTATAAATGCACGTGTATGCGTATGTGCACATATATACATGGACGCCATTTTTAATCAAACTAGAAGATTGGCCAGACTCTTACTTCTAGAGACTCTATGCCGTATATGCGCATCGTGCTGCGCTGCAGCGGAGTCTGAAACCACATTCGCGTCC